TCTTTTTTTTTTTTTTTTTTTTTTTTTTTTTTTTTATTTTTTTTTTTTTTTTTTCAGGCTGTAGTGCAGTCGTGCAATCATGGCTCACTGCAGCTTCACCCTCCTGGGCTCATGTGATCCCCCCGCCGCAGTCTTCTGAGTAGCTAGTAGTACTACAGGCAACATTCCACCACATCCAGTTGTTTACTTATTTTTAATAGAGACAGGTTCTTGCTATGTTGCCCAGGCCATTCTCAAACTCCTAGGCTCAAGCGATCCTCCTGCCTCAGCTTCCCAAAGGGCTGAATACTATTTTTTAAAATAATATTATTTATTAAACCAAAAGGAATATTAAGTCCGAATTTTCAATTAATGAGAGGGACCATGTGTGTGTGTATCTTCCTTTGCAAATTGTACGTAAAAACAGAAGCAAGAGGTAGACACCACAGAGATGAATATGCTGGAACATTCGCATGGCTAATGGTCCCTTCCTGTCCCATCCCAGCAGGTTGAGATGCACGCCTTTGGGCCAAGGGAAAAGAGAGCCCTAGGGTTGGAAGGGGGAGTCTTTGGATAGACACTGCAGGTTCTCAGGGTTCTCTCACTGGGAACAGGAGTGGAGGGGCAGGGGCTGCACAGTACTGTCTGGAGATCAATTCAGAGGTGGTGAGGAGAGTGTCATGCAGAGAGCTGCAGAGACCCAGGGCTGACGTAGCAGGGGTTCTGCACAAGACAATGATCTGGCCATCTATTTTAAGAAGTTCAGCAATGTGCTTTTGCAGGAGCTATGGGGACAGTTTTAATCCTGTGGAAACGTGGCAGTCACTGATCTTTTGGTTGTCCAACACCCAGTCCGCCTTCTCATCTTGGGGGTGGTCCTGGGGGGGTGAAGGATGAATGGGTCTCCAGTCCCACCCCGACAGGTGAGATTGAAGATGGGGGTCTTCCCTGTCCTTTCTCCAACAGCCACAGCTGGATTTTGAGTGATCTGAAGATGCAGACGAAAGGTGTGCACTGAATGTGCCGGCACCTAGATCTTGGACTTCCTGCCTCCAGCATGGGGGGAGATAAACTCCCATGATAAAGCCTCCAGCCTGTGGTATCTTGTTAGAGACGGTCCCCCGCGCCGCCATCAGTGCGAGCGTACTTCCGGAGCACAGCAAAGTGTAATCACATTGGCAGTGATGTCTCCATTCCCTGAGCCTGCAGCTGAGTCCTAACGTGGCTCCATCTCAGCTTCCAGGGTACGTGGGCCCCTCCATACTAATTTCTAGGAGGTTTAAATGGAGGAAACACCAGGAATGTGGTGTGGTCAGCTAGGGCTCTTTGAGGAGGGCAAACAGTGGTATCCACTGGCACACCTAGGGTTCTCTAGCTGAGGGAGTGTTTCAGAGCTCAAGGTACACACCCAGCAGTGTGGCAGGGAAAACATGAAACAGAGGTCCTCAATTGGGTATCTTTTTCCCCATCTGCCATTTGACAATGTCAAATGGAAGATGATTGTGGTCACAGCTGGGGAGTGCGGAGCTACTGGAGTCTACTGGGCAGAAGTGAGACATGCTGTTCAACATCCTATAATGCTCAAGTCCTCCCCTGGGACAGAGAATTACTTGGCCCTAAACGTTAGTAGTGCCCAGGCTGAGAAACCCTAACACAGGACAAAAGAAAGAAAACACTTCAGATACTGAAATGAAGAGGTGGAAGACCATGTAGCCATCACCTCGTCTCAACTCTTGTGGCAATTCCTCTGGAGCTGGCTCTAGGCATGGGTTAAAAATAGCGGGTAATTTAGTAGCTTCTAAGAGGTCAGATAAGCCCAAAGATAAACAGCGCAAAACAAGGCTGGGGTGAGGTGGCCCATTATTTCCGGGAAGCCAACCAAAGACCTGGGCACCAAGGCTAGGCTGCGTGATGGTGAAGCGCCTTGAAAAATCTGATGGCATCTTACTGCTGATTCTTGAATTCAACACCAAGAAGCAAAAGTGATTACTAGCCATCTCAATGCCAAGAACGGTAACATGCTTTAAACTTACGAGAAGTCCCCCAGGATGCTGACACTAAAGATGCACATATTTACAGCGACAGCCATTTATGCTTTTATTCCGAGTTCATTTAATCAGTCCCGAGGGCCGTCTGTGTCCCTCACAGGCATGGGAGATCGTCTTTCCTGTGTTTTTCCCACGTGCTCCACCCAAGCCCCATCTCAGCCCTGGGACACATCCCAACTAGTCAAGAAGCACCACTGCCTCCTTCTAGAGTAACTAGAGGCACCTGAAGGGAGCAGACAACACACCATTTAGTTGGCATCTAGCAGGTGTCAGGCAGCACGCCCCACAGTGTGTGGGCTCTAGCTCATTACCATGACTGCCCCACGTGACAGCATTCCTCTTGCACAGATAAAGGAAAGAAGACTGGGCTGCATTGAGTTGCCTATGGTCACACAACTTAAAAAGGATGACCCACGGGTCCCTGAGGCCATAGCCCCACAAAGGTGCCAACCTGCAATCGATCATTCCATCCATCAGTCCAGTCCACCTGCACCACCATTCATTCCTGCCCTATGAGTGACATGCAGCCCCACGTGTAAGTTGTCAATAAATATCCCGCATTACAGAACATACCTCTACTACAACGTATTTCCACAAAGGATAGATCCTTGCTCTGGAGCTGCACTGGCCAACACAGAGCCCTGAGACTTGTGTGGCTATTTACATTTCAATGATTGCAGTGAAGTTAGTTTGACATGCAGGTCCTCAACTGCACTAACCACATTTCAAGTGCTCAGTAACTCCATAGGGCTGGTGGCTACCACTGTACACTGCACAGATACAGAGCAGAGTCCTGTAGGCAGCACAGCTTTGGGTGATTTGAAAATATGCTGGGGGTAATTTAAAACAATATCTTAGGCCAGGGTTCCCCAACCCCCAGGGCACAGACTGGCACCAGTCCGTGGCCTATTAGGAACTGGGCTGCACAGCAGGAGGGCGAGTGAGGAAAGCTTCATCTGTACTTACAGCCACTCCCCATCACTCACATTCCCTCCTGAGCTCCACTCTTGTCAGAAGACTGGCAGCATTAGATTCTCATAGGCCCATCAACCCTACTGTGAACTGTGCATGTGAGGGATCTAGGCTGCATGCTCTTATGCCTCACGATCTGTCACTGTGTCCCATCACCCCCAGTTGGGACCGTGTAGTTGCAGGGAAAAAAGCTGCAGGTTCCCACTGACTCTACATTATGGTGAGTTGTAGGATTATTTCATTATCTGTTACAGTGTAATAATAACAGAAACAAAGTGCACAATAAACGCAACATGCTTGAGTCTCCCCAAACCACTGCCCATACCCTGGTCTGTGGAAAAATTGTCTTCCACAAAACTGGTCCCTGGTGCCAAAAAGGGTAGGAGCTGCTGTCTTAGGGAATCCAGGGTAGAGCCATGCTAGCTGTTCGGTCAACATAGAAACCCTCACATCTTCCCAGATGCCAAAGGAATGTCATCAAAGAAAGCGAAAAATAAAAATGAAAGAAATCAAGGACAATGATGGCAAAATTGACAAACCTACATGATGCAGGTTAAAAATACACGAACAAACTTAGATCTCCCGGTTTCTTTATGTTTAAATGTGATCATGACCACTCTGTGATTTTGTATTTGCTCCTCAAGCCAAGAGTGGGTGGAGAGTTTGCAATTTAATATGCCAGTGTTGGCACTGACAGATCTGGCTCTCACAGACTTGCTGATCCAAGGGTTTACCCGCAGCCAAGGCCATATCACATTCTGCCTACCTAAACTCTCCAGGTGTTTTATTTGTTTTATGGAAAGTATATCTCAGATCTTAGAGAATTTTCCAAGTAAATAAATGAATTATTCCCTCCCCCCTAAGCCCTTTTTTTTTTTTTTTTTTTGAGACAGAGTCTCGCTCTGTTTCCCAGGCTGGAGTGCACTGGCACAATCTTGGCTCACTGCAACCTCTGCCTCCCGGGTTCAAGCAATTCTCCTGCCTCAGCCTCCCAAGTAGCTGAGACTACAGGTGCACACCACCACACCTGGCTAATTTTTGTATTTTTAGTAGAGACAAGGTTTCACCATATTGGTCAGGCTGGTCTTGAACTCCTGACCTGAGGTGATCCACCCGCCTCAGATTTCCAAAGTGCTGGGTGTAAGCCACTGTGCCCAGCCCAATTTTTGATGCCTGAAGCTATGAAAATCTCATTTTTTTTTTTACTGTATTTATTTGCTCACTTAATTTGACATTTTCTTTCACTCTCAGTAAAAGAATACCATAATGACGGGTTCCCTTGTTTGGGCTGTGTAGATACTAGAGGTTAGCTGTTCTTCCCTGGTGTATGTCTCAGATTAATTTTCAACTTTCTTTCCCAGCCCTACTAGTCCCTTAATCAAAAATAAAACTCCATCTTAGGCACGAAATTAGAGAAGTCTGGCTTGTTAATATTAAGCAAATATTAATCCTTCCAACACTGACATGGTGGTCAAGGCACTGGCCTTGAAGGCAGGGCACTGGGTTCAAATCAGAGCTCTGTGGCCCTGCCTGAGGGACCACTGTCCGGTACCAACACTTCAGCTTGTGTGGCTTCCCGTTCGCACTTCGTGACATCTTCTTTCCTGGCCTTTGCTCAAATTGTAGTCAACGATGTTTAGTGCCTCCCTCTAAAATATGCAAAGGTAGCCAAGGATCACCACATAGCCGGGAGAGAATCCGAGATGAAAGACAGAGGCCAAAACACACAAAAGAGAAAAAGAAACAGGAAGAAACAGACCAAGATGCAGGGACAAAAAAAAATTTCGGGAAACCCTCAAATTAAGTGAATTTGCTTCATATCCTTAGAATAGTAAGAAGAGGCACTACATTAGTGAATTGAGAAAGGATGCTATAAAGGAGAAATAAAGAACAATCAAATCTTAGAAATTAAATATAAAACAGGCAAACAGTGGAAGGAGTGGAAGGTAACATTGAAGAATCTTCCATGAGGTATTACCAAAAGGCAAAAAAAAAAAAAAAAAAAAAAAAAAAAAAAAAAAAGAGTGAAAAATAACTTGTTTCTCTGTTCTGTCTTACAGAAGTTACTGTTCATTCATTGAATGAACCCAATGAATGCTCAATAAGTGGAGGAAAAACCCAGAATTCTGAGAATAAACAGAAGATCCTAAGTTTCCAAAGTTTTTCTTTTAAATATATACATATATATTTGAGACTGAGTCTTGCTCTGTCAACCCAAGCTGGAGTGCCAGGGTGTGATCTCAGCTCACTGCAACCTCTGTCCCCTGGGTTCAAGTGATCCCACCTCAGCCTCCCAACTAGCTGGGACCATAGAGGCAGGCCACCATGCTTGGCTAATTTTTGTATTTTTAGTAGAGAAAGGCTTTCACCATGTTGCCCAGACTGATCTTAAACCCCTGAGCTCAAGCAGTCCACTTGCTGGCCTCCCAAAGTGTTGGGATTACAGGCATGAGCTACTGTACCCAGTTACTTTTTCTTTTCTTTTTTTTGTGGAGCTGGGGTCTCACTATGTTGCCTAGGCTGGTCTTAAATGCCTAAGCTTAAGTGATGCTCCTGCCTCAGACTCCCAAATAGCTGGGACTACAGGCATGCGCCACCATGCCTAGCTAAATTTAAAAAAAAAAAAAAAAAATTTAGAGGAGGGGCTCTACTTTGTTGCCCAGGTTGGACTTAAACTCATGGCCCCAAGCTATTCTTTCACTTTAGCCTCCTGAGTTGCTGGGATTACAGGTGTGAGCCTTACGCCTCATTTCTAATTTTACTTTTTTAATATTTATTAGCTTATTTTATTGACTAGGTGATAGTCACATGGTTCAAATATCAAGAGCATGAAGAGTGACACTTGACAATCTGCTCCCACCTCCATCCCCATACTCTTTCCATTGTGTTCTGCCAGGGATTTTTATGCAAATGCAGGCAAATTACAACCCTTCTCACACAAAGAACAGCACACTATTATACTATTTTTATTTTCTGCATATTACTTTATCCAGTTAACAATACTTACTGGAAATATGCCAAAGAAGACACAGTGTTCTTCATCATTCTTTGGAAAATTATTTTTAACCTATAATTCTACATACAACCAAAGTATTAATCAAGTATAAAGGTAGAATAAAGACATTTTCAGACATGTGATTACTTAAAAAAGGCATTCTTGCTTGGAAAGCTACTGAAGGATGTGTTCCAGCAAAATAAGATAGCGATCCAAGAAAAAAGATAATATGAAATCCAGAAAATAGGGACCTAACAACAACAATTAAAAAAGGGGTAAAAGGAATTCTCAGAATGGTGGCAGAGGGAATGGCAGGCGCAGGAAACCCTGAGAAGAACACCCAGACCAGACTCGATCTAGAGGACAGAGGTCTCTAGTGGGTAGATTTCCATGGGAGAATAAAATTGAATTGATAGATTATCTGATTTGTTTAATCAAATAGAACACAGCATTGTGATGGGTTCTGTTGAAAACTCTGTGGAGATCTGTAGATATCTAGATAGATAAGATAGATATGTAGACAAATGAGCAATGAAAAAGAAATTAAATCATTAACTCTAGAAGAAGCAGAAAGTTGTATCAGGAAAGAAAGGTTATAGTACACTGCTTGGCTCTGCAATGGACATTATTTACATAGCCTGCAACATCATGATAATCACCAGCATTTACTGAGCATTTACTATGTGACAGTCATTGTTCTGAGGTCTTTCTGTGAAATATCTCATTTATGCTCATAACTGCCCTGGGTGAGGTATACTCCTAAAACTTTCCCATTTTACCTATGGGGGATCTAAGGCACAAAGTCGATAAGTAACTTGCCCTAAGTCATGATTAT